GCAAGAAGAGTTTCTAGGTGAAGAGTCTCTGGGTGAAAAGATGTGAAAAGTATATGGGTGAAAAGTATGTGCAAGAAGAGTCTCTGGGTGAAAAGTATATGGGTGAAAAGTATGTGCAAGAAGAGTTTCTGGGTGAAGAGTCTCTGGGTGAAAAGTATATGGGTAAAAAGTATATGGGTGAAAAGTATGTGCACGAAGAGTTTCTGGGTGAAGAGTCTCTGGGTGAAAAGTCTGTGCAAGAAGAGTTTCTGGGTGAAGAATCTCTGGGTGGAAAGTATATGGGTGAAATGTATTGAAGAGTCTCTGGGTGAAAAGTATGGTGGAAAATAGGGGTAGATGGGATGCTGGCAATGGAGGGGAAAATGATGAGAAAAACAGTAGAAAAAATGAGGGAATATGACAGACAACAATGGGAAAAAAATGGGAAAGGAGGGGAAAATGATGAGAACAACAATGGAAAAAAGGAGGGACTTTGACATAAAACAATGGAAAAAAAATAGGAAAGCAATGGAAACGGTGGAAAGAATAGGGAGAGGGTAAAATGATGCCAAGTAAAATTGAGGCTCCGATGTGGGACCATTATTGGTAAAGTTTACGGCGTCAAGCATGCGTGAAACAATGGAAAAGCAATGGAAAACTTGCTGTTTCGATGTGTGACCACTATGAAGAGTTTCTGGGTGAAGAGTCTCTAGGTGAAAAGTATATGGGTGAAAAGTTTGAGCAAGAAGAGTTTCTGGGTGAAGAGTCTCTGGGTGAAAAGTCTGTGCAAGAAGAGTTTCTGGGTGAAGAGTCTCTGGGTGAAAAGATGTGAACAGTATATTGGTGAAAAGTATGTGCAAGAAGAGTTTCTGGGTGAAGAGTCTCTGGGTGAAAAGTATATGGGTGAAAAGTAGGTGCAAGAAGAGTCTCTGCGTGAAAGTATATGGGTGAAAAATATGTGCAAGAAAAGTTTCTAGGTGAAGAGTCTCTGGGTGAAAAGTATATTGGTGAAAAGTATGTGCAAGAAGAGTTTTGGGTGAAGAGTCTCTGGGTGAAAAGTATATGGGTGAAACGTATGTGCAAGGAGAGTCTCTGGGTGAAAAGTATATGGGTGAAAAGTATGTGCAAGAAGAGTTTCTAGGTGAAGAGTCTCTGGGTGAAAAGTATATGGGTAAAAAGTATATGTGTGAAAAGTATGTGCACGAAGAGTTTCTGGGTGAAGAGTCTCTGGGTGAAAAGTCTGTGCAAGAAGAGTTTCTGGGTGAAGAATCTCTGGGTGAAAAGTATATGGGTGAAATGTATTGAAGAGTCTCTGGGTGAAAAGTATGGGGGAAAATAGGGGTAGATGGGATGCTGGCAATGGAGGGGAAAATGATGAGAAAAACAATAGAAAAAATGAGGGAATATGACAGACAACAATGGGAAAAAAATGGGAAAGGAGGGGAAAATGATGAGAACAACAATGGAAAAAAGGAGGGACTTTGACATAAAACAATGGAAAAAAATAGGAAAGCAATGGAAACGGTGGAAAGAATAGGGAGAGGGTAACATGATGCCAAGTAAAATTGAGGCTCCGATGTGGGACCATTATTGGTAAAGTTTACGGCGTCAAGCATGCGTGAAACAATGGAAAAGCAATGGAAAACTTGCTGTTTCGATGTGTGGAAGAGTTTCTGGGTGAAGAGTCTCTAGGTGAAAAGTATATGGGTGAAATGTATTGAAGAGTCTCTGGGTGAAAAGTATGGTGGAAAATAGGGGTAGATGGGATGCTGGCAATGGAGGGGAAAATGATGAGAAAAACAGTAGAAAAAATGAGGGAATATGACAGACAACAATGGGAAAAAAATGGGAAAGGAGGGGAAATGATGAGAACAACAATGGAAAAAAGGAGGGACTTGACATAAAACAATGGGAAAAAATAGGAAAGCAATGGAAACGGTGGAAAGAATAGGGAGAGGGTAAAATGATGCCAAGTAAAATTGAGGCTCCGATGTGGGACCATTATTGGTAAAGTTTACGGCGTAAAGCATGCGTGAAACAATGGAAAAGCAATGGAAAACTTGCTGTTTCGATGTGTGACCACTATGGAGTAGAAGCACAGAAAAAAAAACATGCAAGAAACGAGGAAAACCGTTTATACGGTGCCACTGTAGGGATTGTGGAAGGTGCATTTGGGTAAGCGTTTGACACCCAGCTGCCCCAAAAGTACCCAGCTCTGTCGACACAACAAAATACCCAGCTTGGAGTCTTTTTGTCGACATCCCTTGGCTTTTGGGACATGGGACAGCATGGGACCACTATAAAATGGAAAATTTTTTCCATCCTACCCTAAAATACCCAGCTGCCCCAAAAATACCCAGCTCTGTCGACAGGACATAGGACAGCATGGGACCACTATAAAATGGAAAACTATCTCCATCCCACCCAAAAAATACCCAGCTGCCCCAAAATACCCAGCTCCGTCGATACCAGTCTTTTTGTCGACATCCCTTGGCTTTTGGGACATGGGACAGCATGGGACCAATGGAAAACTACCAGAAAATAAGTCTTGGTCTTTGTGTCAGCATCCCTTGGCTTTGGGACGTGCCGGGCTAAAGAAAAATGTGGTGTCTTTGGGGCGATGATGGTGGGAGGATGTGGGAAGGCTGCGGCACTATAAAATGGAAACCCCCAACCCCAGGAAATCCTACCAGGAAGGGCATGTAATCTCTATAAAATCAGAGCACCCAACCCCTCAAAAAACCATTCATTTTTGGATGTTGTAAGATACAGGGGGTTGGGGGTTCCTATTCTATAGTAGAAAGTTGGCTAGTTCCTTCATTTTAAGGCTAGGCTCCAGGGTACGTTGGGGCCTCCCATTTTATAGTGATGGAGGGTTTTGCAGTAAATTTGTAGCTGTAAATATTTGCTTTTTCAAATAATTTTCTGATTTTATAGAGGTGCACCTGTTTTGTGACCTTGGGTGTTTCCATTTTATAGAGGTCCCACTCCGGGGGGGGATGGGTGCCCCCGTTTTAGTACTATAAAATGGGGGCACCCAACCCCCCCACTTAATCTAGTAGGGGATGTGAAAAGTATATGGGTGAAAAGTATGTGCAAGAAAAGTTTCTGGGTGAAAGTATATGGGTGAAAAATATGTGCAAGAAAAGTTTCTAGGTGAAGAGTCTCTGGGTGAAAAGTATATTGGTGAAAAAGTATGTGCAAGAAGAGTTTCTGGGTGAAGAGTCTCTGGGTGAAAAGTATATGGGTGAAAAGTATGTGCAAGAAGAGTTTCTGGGTGAAGAGTCTCTGGGTGAAAAGTATATGGGTGAAAAGTATGTGCAAGAAGAGTCTCTGGGTGAAAAGTATATGGGTAAAAAGTAAAATTGAGGCTCCGATGTGGGACCATTATATGTGCAAGAAGAGTTTCTGGGTGAAGAGTCTCTAGGTGAAAAGTATATGGGTGAAAAGTTTGATCAAGAAGAGTTTCTGGGTGAAGAGTCTCTGGGTGAAAAGTCTGTGCAAGAAGAGTTTCTGGGTGAAGAGTCTCTGGGTGAAAAGATGTGAGCAGTATATAGGTGAAAAGTATGTGCAAGAAGAGTTTCTGGGTGAAGAGTCTCTGGGTGAAAAGTATATGGGTGAAAAGTAGGTGCAAGAAGAGTCTTTGGGTGAAAGTATATGGGTGAAAAATATGTGCAAGAGAAGTTTCTAGGTGAAGAGTCTCTGGGTGAAAAGTATATTGGTTATTTTATTAAAAGTAAGTATGTGCAGAAGAGTTTTCTGGTGATGAAGAGTTCTCTGGGTTGTAAAAAGTTTATATGGTGAAACGTATGTGCAAGAAGAGTATCTGGGTGAAAGTATATGGGTGGAAAAAAAAGTTATGTGGCAAGAAGGGTTTTTGGGTGAAGAGTTTTGGGTGAAAAGTATTGAAAGTTATATGGGTGAAAAGTATGGCAAGACAGAGTTTATTGGGTGAGGTTTGGTTAACAAAAAGTATTATGGGGCGAACGAAAAAGTATGGCAAGAAGAGTCTCTGGTGTGAATTGAAAAGTAAGTGCACGAAGAGTTTCTGGGTGAAGAGTCTCTGGGTGAAAAGTGTATGGGTGAACTGATGTGCAAGAAGAGTTTCTGGGTGAAGAGTCTCTGGGTGAAAAGTATATGGGTGAAATGTATGTGCAAGAAGAGTTTCTGGGTGAAGAGTCTCTGGGTGAAAAGTATATGAGTGAAAAGTATGTGCAAGAAAAGTTTCTGGGTGAAAGTATATGGGTGAAAAATATGTGCAAGAAAAGTTTCTAGGTGAAGAGTCTCTGGGTGAAAAGTATATTGGTGAAAAGTATGTGCAAGAAGAGTTTCTGGGTGAAGAGTCTCTGGGTGAAAAGTATATGGGTGAAAAGTATGTGCAAGCAGAGTCTCTGGGTGAAAAGTATATGGGTGAAAAGTATGTGCAAGAAGAGTTTCTAGGTGAAGAGGCTCTGTGTGAAAAGTATATGGGTAAAAAGTATATGGGTGAAAAGTATGTGCACGAAGAGTTTCTGGGTGAAGAGTCTCTGGGTGAAAAGTCTGTGCAAGAAGAATTTCTGGGTGAAGAATCTCTGGGTGAAAAGTATATGGGTGACATGTATGTGCAAGAAGAGTTTCTGGTGAAGAGTCTCTGGGTGAAAAGTATATGGGCGAAAAGTATTTGCAAGAAGAGTTTCTGGGTGAAGAGTCTCTGGGTGAAAAGTATGTGGGTGAAAAGTATGTGCAAGAAGAGTTTCTGGGTGAAGAGTCTCTGGGTGAAAAGTCTGTGCAAGAAGAGTTTCTGGGTGAAAAATCTCTGGGTGAAAAGTATATGGGTGAAATGTATGTGCAAGAAAAAAAATTGGGTGAAGAGTCTCTTTGTGAAAAGTATATGGGTGAAAAGTCTGTGCAAGAAGAGTTTCTGGGTGAAAAATCTCTGGGTGAAAAGTATATGGGTGAAATGTATTGAAGAGTCGCTGGGTGAAAAGTATGGTGGAAAATAGGGGTAGATGGGATGCTGGCTTTCGTTCCCCCCTTCTCAGGTGTTCTTCATTTTGATGAGTATCTGAAGGCTCCCAGTGACTGGCCCACGGTGCACGCTCCGAGAGTTATGGTGGATGACTCTTCGTGGGGAGCTGTATGCACTGGCTTGGTGTCAGCGGGAGTGTGTACTTGGATTGAAGAATCTGAAGTTTTCCATGTTGGTGGTGTTCCCCTTCTGAATGGTATGTTTGGAGTGACCAAAGATGAGTGGACGGCCGAGGGTGACGAGATTTTTCGTCTCATAATGAACCTTGTGCCCTTGAATGCCCTTTGTCTTCCAATGTCAGGAGATGTTGATACCCTGCCATCATGGGGAGGAATGAATCCATTCTTCTTACAACCAAGTGAACATTTGCTCATTAGTTCTGAAGACGTGAAGTGCTTCTTCTATACGATGCGGGTGCCTCTTTGCTGGGTCAAGTACCTTGCCTTCAACAAGCCGGTCCCTGATGAGGTGTTGCCAGCGCACCTCCGGGGACGGGCGATTTACATAGCTTCTAGGGTCTTGCCAATGGGTTTCTTGAACAGTGTCAGTCTTGCCCAACATGTTCATCGAAATTTGGTTTCTTGGAGCCGGGTGCATGAACCTACGTTGGTGCAAGAGCACAATGCCCCTGAACAGGAGCTAAGAAAGGACAGACCATTTACCACGGGGAACCCGACCTGGAGGGTTTACCTTGACAATTATGATCTGTTGGAATGGGTGGAGGCCACTCAGATGGCCCACCTGGAAGGGTCCGTGGCTCCTGGAGTTCTGGCCCTCCGGCAGGAGTATGAGCGTTGGGAGGTCCCGCGGAATCAAAAGAAGTCAGTTGAACGATCCGCGAAGTGTGAAATGCAAGGAGCCACCATTGACGGCAAACTGGGAGTGGCCTATCCCCGGGAGAGTAAGCTGTGTCGCTACTTCTCCTTGGCCCTTAACCTGGCATCATTGGAGCTTGCGACCCAAAAGCAATGGCAGATTGTTTGTGGAGGCCTTGTCTATGTGAGTATGTTCCGGCGGCCCATGTTGAGTGGACTGAACGCCGTGTGGCGCCATATTGAATCTTACAACTCCGGGGGGTCTCTTCGACTGAGGACCCCTGCTGAGTGCCGCTTGGAGATTCTGCGCTTTTTGGGCATGTTTCCTTTAGCCAGGATGGATTTCCGCCTGGATGTGCACCCGGTGGTGACATGCAGCGACGCATCAAGCTCAGGTGGAGGGATCTGTGCTTCCCGGGGAACCACGTTTCTGGGGCAGGTAGTTGCTCAAGGGGAACTGCGAGGTGACCAGGCAGAGGCCAATGTGGACGGAGGCGTGCTGCTCATTGGACTTTTTGATGGGATCGGAGCTCTACGAGTGGCCATGGAGCTTCTGAATGTCCCCATATTGGGTTACGTGTCGGTGGAGCAGCACGCCCCCGCCCGCCGTGTGGTGGAACGACACTACCCCGGGGTGATTCATTGCCCTGATGTGGCAAAAATTGATGGAGACACCATCAAGTCCTGGAGTACACGCTTCTCGCAATCATGTCTGGTAGTCATTGGAGCTGGACCACCCTGCCAGGGTGTAAGCGGACTCAACAGTGACCGCAAAGGAGCCCTTCGTGATCAACGGTCGTCGCTGTTCTCACATGTCCCCCGGATCCGAGACGATGTGAAGGTGCATTTCCCGTGGTGCCCGGTCTATGTTCTCATGGAGTCGGTGGCCTCTATGGACCGAGCCGATCGTGAGATTATGACACAGGCTATCGGGGTCGATCCCCTGCGGTGCGATGCAGGGACCCTGACGTGGTGCCACCGACCGCACCTTTATTGGTGCGACTGGGAAATGATTTCCGGGGAGGGCTACTCCTTGACCCGTGAGCAACAGGACCAACCTGTTGACCTCTATTTGACCGGGAACCAGGAGCTGTCCGATGTCCTTCGAGCAGGATGGATCAAGGTCGAGCCGCTCACGTTGTTCCCCACCTTTACTACAGCAAGGCCCCGGGCTACGCCTGGCCGAAAACCCGCGGGGATCCAGCAGTGCACCTTGGAGGAGTTGCAGCGTTGGACCCTGGACAAGCATCGCTTTCCGCCGTACCAGTACCGTACGGTCAATGCTTTGGTAAATCGGAGCAATGAGGTGCGCCTGCCTGATGTCGCTGAACGGGAGCTCCTGCTTGGTTTTCCATTGAATTACACAACAGGTTGCTTCCCAAAGGGAGAGCAGAAAGGTGAAGCCTACAACGATTGCAGGCTAACGTTACTTGGTAACACATGGAGTGTTATCGTAGTAGCGTGCCTCCTGAACCAGCTCCTGGCCCGGCTGGGCCTGACGCCTCTGAGGACGCCCCAGATGATCATTGATCAGGCCCGCCCTGGTCACTGTTCAGCCGTGCAAGGACGACTTTTCCGATTGCCTTTGAACGGCCCCCGAGCCGCGAAGGAAGATCAATCATTGGAGCTGGCACGCAGGCTCAGCTGCCTGATTTCTATTAAAGGAGAGGATATCATGCTTACCACGCCTACGTCCCAGCAGGTGAAATATCATCGATTTCGATCGAGCGTGCCAGCGCGATGCTGGAAGTGGCGCATAGTGGCAGGGTGGAAATGGAAGCATTCTCGTGAACACATCAATGGGTTGGAGCTGAGGGCAATCCTCACAACGCTGAGATGGCGTCTGGAACATTCCGGACATCTCAAGACTCGGTTCATTCATTTGACAGATAGTCTTGTGTGCCTTCATGCTTTGAGTCGTGGGCGTAGTAGCTCACGAAAGCTCAGAAGCACTATGTCTCGCATAAACGCACTGGTACTGGCTTCGGGAGTCGAGCCCCTGTGGGGCTACGTGCATACGGAACAGAATCCTGCCGATAAGCCCAGCAGATGGGGCCGGCAGGTCGGAACCAAATTCCGTCATGCCAAAGCGTAAACTCCTAGAACAACACAAAGCCAGTGACCGTGCGCGTGAGAGACAGAAACTTGGCACATTGAGAGAGCTCACAGTTCAACCCGCCACTCGAAAACGATATCAGAGGGCCACGCAAGCATTTTTTGATTTCCTACACCAGGAACAGCTGGAGATTTCTCGAAAACGCGATCAGTTTGATATAGTTGTGTGTGAATTTCTAGAGCACCTTTGGAGTACTGGCGTTGGCCGGGGTCAAGCCAATGACACCGTAGCGGGGCTCCAAGATCTTCAGCCAAGCCTCCGTAATCACCTGCCAGGGGCCTGGCGACTTCTCAAAACCTGGGCCGTAAATGAGGTGCCAAACCGAGCACCACCTCTCCCTGAGCTCGTAGTTCATGCTATGGCAGGGTGTGAATTACTAGGGCTTAAGTCTTCCAGTCTTCTTTGTGCACCCAAGGATCGACAGGTCCTGATATCACTAAGCTTGACCAAATCGGGCAAGAGACAAGGGGCTGCAGAATCTGTAATTCTTGGTGTGGAAGAGGGCGTTCGCCTGGTGCAGCATTGGAAACAGATTGCTAAAGTGGCTACCCCATTGGCATCCTCACCTGTGAGATGGCGAACACTGTTTACTCAAAGTCTGGCCTCACTGGGCCTTGAATCTTTTCAGTTTAGACCCTATTCCTTGAGAAGGGGAGGGGCAACTTGGTGGTTTCAAAAGCATCAGAACCTTGACCGTATCCTAGTTCAAGGGCGCTGGCTTGCCCATAAAACTGCTAGGATTTATATAAATGAAGGTTTGGCGATGCTCACCAAGACTCAAATTGATTTCAACTCTCCAACAATGCGATCTTTTTTGCACATTTACCGTAATACGGTACGTACTCCACGTTTTTCCACACTTGAGCCTCCGGCAAATGCCGGAAGTACAGGGGGACGTGGAAAGAAAGGATCAAAGAGGGTGAGGAAGCGCGTTCAAAATGCATTTTGGTTGCTGCCAGGGCGTGCTACTTTATTTTTCGGGGTGGCAAGAAATCCGGAGGTTTGGCTCGATTCCATTGCCAGAAAAATAAACCTTTCCTCTGACACCTCGGGTTTGGCCGGGTGTTCAGAAATGGCTTGTCTGAGAGTAGACGGGTAGTACCACCCTGTTGTCGAATTTTTTGGATCCGTTTTTATATCTTTTCCTGACGCACTTGCTGCGAAGTGGAGCAAAAGTGAATTGCATCACATCTTTGTATCTCCGGCCCGGTAGTAAAGATGGGATCATTGAACATGCTCCGTAGTGTGTGGCTTTAGCTCCCAAACCCTCCCTCCCCTCGGGAGTTCTCTCCTGTTGGGGGAAAGAAAGGATCAAAGAGGGTGAGGAAGCGCGTTCAAAATGCATTTTGGTTGCTGCCAGGGCGTACTACTTTATTTTTCCTGACACACTTGCTGCGAAGTGGAGCAAAAGTGAATTGCATCACATCTTTATATATATATATATAACCATTCTTATTAATGATCGTTTATCCAGTCCATCAATATTGATGTACAGAATCTTTCTCTTCTTGCTGCACCACTGCGCAGGCGCTGCCTTTGGCGAAAATGTCATCCTGATGTCAGGTGGACAGGACACCACCGTCCAAGCCAGAGGACTGCTGCCTACTCCCCCACCTCATGCGAATCTGTCAGCTTCCGCCCCACGAAAGCAGCAAATCAACTGCATGATTATTTGAATTTATTTGCGGTATCAGAAGAGTCTAACTTGATTTCAGGGGGAGTAGCCCTTTTGAAAGTTTTTGAATTCATCCATCAGGAAAAAACATATCTGTCGCTGTGTGCTGTTGTGGCTCCCATGGCAGGAGATGTCGAGGTGTACGGCTTGAGCGGGCTGCAAACACGCGCCCTGCTGGCCGAACAATACCAGCAGCATCCTGAGTAGAGTTTGTTTGTGGGTCACTGGTTGTATGGTTCATGTGTATACTATTTGGTTTGCTGGGGATAATGGTGATGAATGATGTTTACACGTTTTGCTACACATTCACGTATATTTTTTGAATTCTTGTAAACCCCTTATGGGAACCCCAAACCAACAAACAACCTGCACTCTTACAACCTGCTGATGCTTGCTCCGTGAGGGTGTATGAATCCTACAACCTACTACTGGTGAGGGCAACACCGGAAACACGAGGGTGGGACAGACTTTCATTGCATTTCTGTTTCAATGTTCTGTGCTAGATCCTGATGTATCCAACTGGGGCACAAGGCTGCACGTGCAGTTTGGCAATGTTTGGCTCAAGACATATGGAACAAACACAATGAACTCATTGCTTTGACTGTTTGATTAGATGCTTCAGGTCAGCGTAACTCTGCCGAGTGGTCGCAGCGAGAGACTTTCGCTTCCAGAGTCCTCCAAAGTAGGGGACCTGAAGATTCTGGCACAGAAATTATTTCAACTGGGCTTCTTGAGGGTTGTTGCTGCAGGGCGTTTGCTTGATCCTGAAGAGTCTCCGCAAGCTGCAGGAGTTCAGGAGGGAGACCACCTGACAGCCATTGTCGTGCAGGAAGCAGAGATAGCGGCAACACAAGACGCTTTTGCATTGTGGTGCTGTGGAGGTGACCGAATTGTCACATGGGGCCATCCAATCAATGGTGGCTGCAACTTTGAGGTGCAAGATCAGCTGAAGGGTGTGCAGCAGGTTCAAGCAACTTCCTGCGCATTCGCCGCAATCCTGGCAGACAAGTCAGTCGTTACTTGGGGTGCCAAAAAAACATTGCGGAGACAGCTCTGAAGTCCAACATCAGCTCAAAGGTCTCCAGCAGGTGCAAGGAACTTCCGGCGCATTTGTTGCCATCCTGGCGGATGGATCAGCTGTGACTTGGGGTGCTGCCTTTGCTGGCGGAGACTCGGAGACAGCTCAGAAATTCAGGATCAGCTCAAAGGCGTAAAGCAGGTTCATGCAACTTCGCGCGCATTTGCTGCGATCCTGGATGATGGATCAGTTTTGACTTGGGGTGACCCAACTTGTGGAGGAAACAGCTCTGCGGCCCAGGATCAACTTACAGGTGTGCAGAAAATTCACGGAACTTCCGGTGCTTTTGCTGCAATTTTGGCAGATGGAGATGGATTTGTTGTTGCTTGGGGCTTTTCACGTTCTGGTGGTGGCAGCTCTGAAGTTCAAGATCAGCTTAAAGGTGTGGAGCAGGTGCAAGGAACTTTTCAAGCATTTGCTGCCATCCTGGCGGATGGATCAGTCGTCACTTGGGGAACTGCGCATGCTGGTGGTGAGAGCTCTGAAGTCCAGAGTCCGTTCAAAGGTGTGCAGCTGGTGCAAGCAACTTCAAACGCTTTTGCTGCCATCCTGGCGGACGAATCGGTTGTGACTTGGGGCGCGGGAGGGCCATTGGTAAAGATCAGATTGAAGAGTGAACAGCACACAGGGAAGGCTTTTGTGCTCACTAGTCGGCCCTTCATAGTTACTTGGGCTTGTGAGGCTCGGGGGCATCACAATGTCCAGTTTTAATCACTTTTAGAATCTTTTAGATGTGTAGACGGGCCACTAGTCCCAAGCCATTGATTGTTCGTGACAGATTTGTTTGGCCAACTCATCACCCGACCAACAACAGTAAGGGGAGGAGACCGAAATTGATTTGGATATATGACCAAAAATCAGGCGATGAATGCCCTAATTACAGGTCCCCGCCATTCCACAGCAGACTTTGGGTTGACGGTGATCAAGACTTCAGTGCGGTAGTGCGTGTCAAGAAATGGTGCAGTTGAGCTCCAACTCAAAGGAATACATATCACTTAATTAGAGATGAACCTTAGTTAATCTTAGTTGGCCAATGGCCAATATTTTCAGGACTATGTTTGAAGCCATTGAAGCCCCAAGTTTAAAGTTTCCAATGCCCACTCTTTGCTGAGGCGCGAACGAGGTCAGACCAGCAGTGCGGTGAATGAGGCCTTAAGCCCTGCACCCGGCTGGGGCTGAAGGTTTCAGCTGGAAGCAGTGGACAGTTTATCCAGAAATGGTGCTTTCTTGATTGAACAAACGGGGTTGGAATCGAGCACCTGGAAATGTTTGGGCTCGAAGGTTCAGTGGTGGATTTCGGGGTGTGAGTGATGCCATCATTTACACTGTATAATTCTTTAAACAATACTCCATAGATCTTGATAGATCTTTCTAGCATATATATATATATGTATATAGAGTAGTATTATAGTAGTATTATAGTAGTATCATAGTAGTATCATGGTAGTATCATGGTAGCATTATAGTAGTATTATAGTAGTAAGTAGCATTATAGTAGTATTATAGTAGTATTATAGTACTATTATAGTAGTAGTAGTATCATAGTAGTATCATGGTAGTATCATGGTAGTATTATAGTAGTATTATAGTAGTATCATAGTAGTATCATGGTAGTATCATGGTAGTATTATAGTAGTATTATAGTAGTATTATAGTAGTATCATAGTAGTAAGTAGTATTATAGTAGTATTATAGTAGTATTATAGTAGTATTAAGGTAGCATTATTGTAGTATTATAGCATGGTAGTATTATAGTAGTATTATAGTAGTATTATAGTAGTATCATAGTAGTATCATGGTAGTATTCTGGTAGTATTATAGTAGTATCATAGTAGTATCATGGTAGTATCATGGTAGTATTATAGTAGTATTATAGTAGTATTATAGTAGTATCATAGTAGTATCATGGTAGTATCATGGTAGTATTATAGTAGTATCATAGTAGTATCATGGTAGTATTATAGTAGTATCATAGTAGTATCATGGTAGTATCATGGTAGTATCATAGTAGTATTATAGTAGTATCATGGTAGTATCATGGTAGTATTATAGTAGTATTATAGTAGTATTATAGTAGTATCATAGTAGTATTATAGTAGTATCATGGTAGTATCATGGTAGTATTATAGTAGTATCATGGTAGTATCATGGTAGTATTATAGTAGTATCATGGTAGTATCATGGTAGTATTATAGTAGTATTATAGTAGTATCATGGTAGTATCATGGTAGTATTATAGTAGTATCATAGTAGTATCATGGTAGTATTATAGTAGTATCATAGTAGTATCATGGTAGTATCATGGTAGTATCATAGTAGTATTATAGTAGTATCATGGTAGTATCATGGTAGTATCATGGTAGTATCATGGTAGTATTATAGTAGTATCATGGTAGTATCATGGTAGTATCATGGTAGTATTATAGTAGTATTATAGTAGTATCATGGTAGTATCATGGTAGTATTATGGTAGTATCATGGTAGTATTATAGTAGTATCATAGTAGTATTATAGTAGTATCATGGTAGTATCATGGTAGTATTATAGTAGTATCATGGTAGTATCATGGTAGTATCATAGTAGTATTATAGTAGTATCATGGTAGTATTATAGTAGTATTATAGTAGTATTATAGTAGTATTATAGTAGTATTATAGTAGTATCATAGTAGTATTATAGTAGTATCATGGTTGTATCATGGTAGTATTATAGTAGTATCATGGTAGTATCATGGTAGTATTATAGTAGTATCATGGTAGTATCATGGTAGTATTATAGTAGTATTATAGTAGTATTATAGTAGTATCATAGTAGTATTATAGTAGTATCATGGTAGTATCATGGTAGTATTATAGTAGTATCATGGTAGTATCATGGTAGTATCATAGTAGTATTATAGTAGTATCATGGTAGTATCATGGTAGTATTATAGTAGTATTATAGTAGTATTGTAGTAGTATTATAGTAGTATCATAGTAGTATTATAGTAGTATCATGGTAGTATCATGGTAGTATTATAGTAGTATCATGGTAGTATCATGGTAGTATTATAGTAGTATCATGGTAGTATCATGGTAGTATTATAGTAGTATTATAGTAGTATTATAGTAGTATCATAGTAGTATTATAGTAGTATCATGGTAGTATCATGGTAGTATTATAGTAGTATCATGGTAGTATCATGGTAGTATTATAGTAGTATCATGGTAGTATCATGGTAGTATCATGGTAGTATTATAGTAGTATTATAGTAGTATCATGGTAGTAGCATGGTAGTATTATGGTAGTATCATGGTAGTATTATAGTAGTATCATAGTAGTATCATCGTAGCATAGTTGCACATAGTCATCGTTTGTTCCAAATGATATGCCATGGCTGTTTTGCGGAACACTTGTGACCAATCGAAGCACGGAGCGGAGCAGCCAAGGTTCAGAGTCCTGTTGGCTTCTCCGAAAGCTCACACCATACCAGGTGAGCTCCGGGTGTCAAAATCCGAAAGGATATTTTATGACAGATACCGATGATCTACCGATATGATATTACGATATATTACGATAATTTATATAACAAAATAGTATACCGTATGTATGTGTATGTATGAATTTAACGAGACTTTGTAATATACTTTATTATGGTATGGCTTGATCATGTTGACTCATGTTCAGCAGTTCTTGCAATGTGTTCCACTATCAGGTTTGAAGGAGGAACAGGGTCTACTGTACTGTAACACACTGAAGCTGGGATCTTTTCCGTGTCAACGATGCCAATCACCTTTCCTGGCAGATGCAATGCCTCTTTGACAAAGCCGGGGGGACCAAGATTGACGGGCAGCTACCAACAGGTTGCGAGCACATTCTGGATTGTTGACCTCTTTGGTTCATTAGGATGCATCAAGAGAGGAATGCTAGGTGTTTCCCAGGGGTGACCGCCCTCTCACTAACTCCTGACAGGTTTGAGTTGGGTTGATGACCTCTTCCCATGTCTAAGGTCAATGTCCAGACCCATGAGGATGGTGCCGAGATCCTCAGTGCTGGACCCAAGGAGCCCTTAGAGCCAGGATCGTGCAGCTATCTGCTGTTGGCACATGGATTTTTCAGGAAGGCCCCAGCATGCCCCAGCAGATTTTGCGACCCAGGAGCATCAGGATCTACACATCGTGCTTCAGGGCCAGGCAGGATGTTGCTCACCTGCCACTTGCATTTTCCAGACCTAGCGTGACATAACCAAATCTGCCAAGCTCGTTGCATCCAAGCCTCCAAAAATGATATCTTCGCGTGGTTTTGTTTTACTTCATGTTAAATTTATAGACATCTTCCTGAGATCATTGCTGCCATGGCCGATTCGGGCTCCAGATCTTTTGTGAAGTGAGCCACCAGGTTTCAGGATCCAGCTAGACTTGAAGATACTTGAAGCGATGAACGATTATCCTTTTTAATCCATGATGGTTGGCATATTGGCCGGGGAACCCCATCGAACAACCAATCGGCCAATGGTAGCAAAAGGATGCAAATGATATGCCCTTGTATTCTTCGCAAAATGGGACATCATTGAACCAGTGTAGAGGGTAGCGAGCACATCCTTGCAAAGCTTCAAGGAATTCAGGGTCCTAATGGCCCCTGAGCCATGGCATTGCAGCCTTGGCGTGTCCGAGCTGCAACCCGTTTTATCCAACACGTGAGATGGCACATGCACTCGGCAAAGCTGCAAAAATTCTTCACCAACAAAACCCACAAGAAGTACTGCTCCTGCGGAAAGCCCAGCGCATTACTCCTGGAACAGTGCAGTTACTGTGGTGCCTCCTTAAATGATCAACACATCGCTCCTATGAAGCGAGATCCATTGCTGGCAGCTGTCCTGGGTGAAAACACAGAGTTTCAAGAGATGCATCGATCCTTCCAGCTTTTGGTGTTGAAGAATCGCTACCCCGTGGGCGACCAACACCTGCTGGTGCTGCCCAAAAGTACCTTCTATGACATCCGACAGCTCCGCAAGAGAGACGCCGCGCTGTTGGAGAAGATGTATCAAAAGGGCTTGGAGTGTTTGAAAGTTGAGCCTGGTACACCCGTGGCATGCGGCTTTTCATATCCCTCAGACTACAATCACTTGCATTTGCACATGGTTACGCCACCCTTCAGTTCCGTGGAGCTCTTCCAACGTCACGTCTTCTATCCATTGCCCGAGCTTCAGCTGCAGTTGCAGCGCAAGGGTCTGGTGCGTCCACACCCCGTGCTGGACATCGAGGCGGAGGAGGTGCAACGTCAGTGGATTGAACAGATGGACAGCTGGGCACGGAGAAACATATCGAAAACTGGGAACATTTAGAGATATTTAGAGGGTATATTTAGAGGGTATACAGGCATACAGGTTTAGGCTTCAAACTATGGTTTACCCTTACAATCCATTACATCTACTGGGGTAACCAGGGGTTCCGGCATGTGTCGAGCCGCCGTGGAATTCCGGGTGAACAAAGGCAAGGAGGTCGAGTCCTCACGTTGTTCAGCCATGGACGAGCTAGAAAGGAGATGAAAGGAGGGCATGGGATGGCTGATGGTGGCTGTTTCTTGATTCCCGGGGATTCTAGATGGAACCGACACAATCGAGCGATGGCGAAAACAGGAGCATCTCACAGTTGCTGGTTGCAATCTTGGCTTAAATCCCGATCGACGTGAAACGCCCAACTTATCAACTTTTTGTCCCCTTGATGGGCTTGAAATGGCTTGAATGAAATCCCCGATTCTTGTTCTGCAAATTCCCCAATTCTTGCCGATTTGACCTTCAATTTGACGTATCGCAACAGTATCCGAAAATTGCAGGTCAAAGCCCCAATTTGAATTGATGATTTCCATATGATTTCCCGTTTCAAATGGGCTTCTGCTGAAATCGTTCCACAGATGCCAGGTATCACTGGTGGATCCTCGAGGTGCCCAGTGACATGGGAAAGATCCGAAAATCTATTGGTTTCATGGATTTTTTCATGGGAACACATGGAAAATATGGAAACTATCAAGCTTGGATGATTTTCCGGAAATCTTGAGGGCGCACCTGGTTTTTGGACACGCATTTCTTTGTTTTGTCGATTGGATGTGTTTGGATGCACCAGTTGCTGGCAACAGCTTGGTTTCGCGCGAACTTTTTGAAGGATAAATGTGTGCGAACAACACATGCATGGGAATCAATTAATAATGTCCATATTTTTCCAAATTTCAGTGGCACCACCATCATGAGGGTGCATACAAGGTGTAGGACTTGAACTTCCCAACTGGCCAAGAATGTGGTGAACACACCGCACGAAGTACTAGAGACAAACATCCACGGCTAAGGGTTCTGGGTCATCTTACGGCCTCTCCAGCCATCCCTGAGGTGGGGAAGAGATCGCTTTGGTCGAGCGTAAGGGCATCTCAGATATCTCAGATTGGAAGGTGGCATGTTCAGCTCCTTTTCCTGCTCAGCTGGATCAAGAAATTGGGTAATTGCACCCATACTTTGGACCCTCTGCCCACATTTGGCAGAGTGACACTGCACTCCCCACCAGTGGCAGCGTCATGCTATGTCATGCTTCTGTTGTGTCATGTGAGGCATGGGCGTCATGGGCTATACCGGAGTCTTGTACAAGGACGCTTTCCACAGCTCATTTATATGATTCATGACGCGTATGACGTGCCGAACTCTTTTCATCGGACAATCCACAAACCCTGGCCAATGGGCGCAGAAACGCGTGAAGTAATTACACTGATTACATTGTCTGCGTAATTCTGTGCCATTTAAAGATGCAGCCTGTCTAAATTCATGTGCAGAGGTGTGGGCCCCCAATGCGCAGCGGGGCAGCGGGGCCATCATTGCGGGTTTTCCCTCTTGAGCCGTTATGCCTAGCAAGTTGCTAGATCATGCCACATTTTCACAAGTAAGCCAAGTGTTGACCATTTTTCAGGCTGATGCTTGCAAGAATCTGTATCACCTTAAATCTTAATTTTGGTTCCCTCGAATTCTGTCATTTCTGGTGAAGCCCCTGTGTTCGTCTAGAATCTAGAACTCCATTCTGAATCATTCCTGCTGAATTGTAATTGAGTTGTTCATTTTTTGTGACCATTTTGGGTCACCATCAACGTTTCCGCCAGGAAGAGACCTTCAAGGCGATCGCCAGAGGATCTGCTCGAAGCCGAGGGGCGTTTTAGGTGACTCAGGTGACCAACAAAAACCGACCAAGATGGGGATGAAGCACATTTGGAGCAGCGACTCAAAATGCAACCAACATCAACCAACTGGGGCATGTGCCACCTGCCAGTTGGTTTACCCAACCGGAGAACATCCAATAATTAAGAAGGGAAAGATGGCGAGTACCAAAAAGTTAATGGATTTCACATGATCTCACCACCGCAATTAGGGTATGGATCGAGGTATGATCGAGGCTATCAGGAGCGCTAAGCCGGCAGATTGACAGAATTTGACAGATCTTTTGGTGGTGTATAGTGGTGTTATCCGAAGTTTGGGCTATTCTACATCGACACACCATTATCGAAATTTGCCCGAAAAGCGAAAGGTCCTCTTGCGGATGGCAGCCAGGCTACTGCCAGGCTGCTAGTTGATATTTTCTTTGGCCAAAGAGTTAAATGAGACCGAGGTCCAGACGCTAGTCTTGAGCAGCACACTGTTGCAAGAAATGTCACCACCTCAGAGCGGTCAAGTGCCGCTGTTGATGGGCCCCGGAAATCCAATCTAAAACATCGTAAAACATGAAAGTCTCAAAGGGGCACTTTTCCCATCTTTTCCCTCCGCGAGACACCTTCCATCCACCTTTTGCATCCCTTTGCCGCTTCCGTGTTTGATTTCGGGGGAATACCATGCTTAGTCGCCAGTTGCTGGATGCCTCGGACCTCGAATATCCTCGAATTGGGATCCCTTGGGTCGCAGGTTTGGCAATGCTTTGGAAGAAACCATCATCCGATCGCGGATCCTCACCAGCATCAGGCAACAGGAGGACTGGACCCACTTGCCACTTGAGCATCTCAAACGCAGATTTGATTTGCGAACATTTCCTGAAACAACTATTTATATCATTTTATATCTATATTATATTTTCTATGTTCCACCATTGGTTTCTGGTGTCATAGAACGATGTTGTGAATCATCTGAATAGGTTTCGGGGTCCTACAGGAGCTTCAGCACCTGCGCATGGACCAACTGGATGGACTGGCCAGTCTCTATGAGGCCCAGGGAGGATGGCCCTGCTCCCACCCCATTGGATTGGTGGAGAATTCAATGAAGTTATGACTTATGACATCTTATGACCTGTAAATTCATAATTATAAAATATTATAAATTTAATTATTATTATATATATATATAATAAAAATTACTGTAATTATATATACACAATTATACACAAATATTTTATTATCGATACATATGCAAGTGAGTGTATTTGTGTGTGGGGGGGGTTATCACAAGATCGTCATTCTTGGGCAACCCACTAAATCATAGCCCAGTTATGACCTGGCTGCTGGTTTGGTGCTTCCGATTTTGCCTCGCTGGCTCCATGCTTTGGGGCTGATGATCTGAGGGGAATGGGGGCCACAGAACAGAATTGGTATTCCGTCTGACCCCTTGCGGAAAAAAGATCAGAATATGGCGGAGGATGCTGCTATCTGCTTCTAAACCCCCCTGCTGAATAGGTGACTTACTTATACATATACAATCATATTATATACATACATGCATATATATAATATATATATATATAATGGAAACGTCTTGTTGGGTTTGCATGGCCACCAGAAGGTTCCCAGGATTAGGCTCTCCACATTCCCTGTTGCAGTCGATCATCCTGAAGCCTGGAGAAGTGCATGAGCGGTTCAGTTCTGAGAGGTTTATCAAACGGGATCCAGTGATCCAGTCCTGTCCACTCCGTTCCAGCACAAAGTCTCCCATCGGCATCACAGGGGCAACAGACATGCAAAGAGCCTTGTGCCACGGTGTACACACACATTATATATATATATATATTATATATTATATATATATATATTATATATATATATATTATATATATATATTATATTATATATAATAATATACATATGCACATATTTGGTTCTATACGCATATTGCGTGTTTATGCACATATCAGCAACCGCTGTATTTGCGCACATGTGAGGTCGTGTTCAGGTGGAAGTGCCGCCAGAATTGTATAAGCTCAAAGCAAGGTGGGAACGCCTCAGCGAGTTAGGCAAAACAATGAGAAGCACAAGGACAACCAAGATACCCAAGTGCGGCGTTGGAAGCAAGGTCAGTGATCAACGTGCGTAGGGGAAAAACACGGGGGTAGGGGTAGGGCCATCTTGACTTTCGAGGAAACTCAAATAACTTCCATTGCACACACACACAGAATAGAGAATTACACATATATACAAGAATGTATAATATAACAATTGTTATATCTCTGTGTGTGTGTTTGTGCGTGCCTTCCTGACTTCCCCCCCATTTCAACATATCGGACTTCTCCAGCCAGTGGTGGCTTGAAGTAGCGGTCGCTAAGGCCAGCTTTCCGACTGGGCTTCATCTTGCAAGGGCAAGCAGAGGCTCAAAATGCAAAGATCAGGGCCTCTACAAATATTTCAACATACAAGCGATGCGCTGCCACCAATCTCCTTTGTGGGAAAAAGTGGGGCTTAGATTTGTGCAGCTGGAATCTGAAGGTCTGAAGGGTGTCTGAAGTGGTTCAAGGGGAAAGCCGGAAACTTTGTCTTGAGATGATAAAAACCCATGGGGGTCCCCCTTTCCATTTCCATGAAACTCAGCAAAATTTTGTGGGATCTGGAGGCCACCTTGATCAACAAGGAGGGGCTGGTGCAGACCCCAGGGCAAGATGGGTGTCAAGCAACTTCGGGTCGGGCGGAAAGGGTGGAACCGGGTGGAACCTCGCGCAGCAAGGTCATCCGCGAACCGGTGATTCTTAAAGACAGAGGTGCCCGGAGATCACACCCCAAAATGCGAAGGTGAGGAGTACACGGATTGTCATTTGAGGCAGTTTTGCATCTGTTCTATCATCTATAATATTAAAATTAAATATATAAAATGTGTAGAACTATCATGGCACAACAGCCTACCATGCACTTCAACGTCTTCAAGTCCGACATGTAGAACGGCAGGATGTTGCTGCTCTTCAGATGTTCGCTAGTGAGGGTTGGCACTCGTTTTTGTTCTCCAGGTGTTGCAACATGTGGAACTCGGGGGAGGGCGATGGAGAGCAACCTAGTGTCTTTCCTCCGACCAATCTGACAAAACATCGGATATTGGGCTGAATCATAGACCATCATAGACCCAAGGCACCACAATTTTGGGCCATTGATGAAGAATATTGGCTTGAGAAACGTTCAATTCAAGGTCCCCATTGGTCCCTTAGGCTCAAAACAACTTGAAACATCCCAAGTGGACCTTGGTGCACATGGCTTGGCTGGCCAGGCAAAGTTCTCATCCCAGAAGATGCCGATATTGAAGATAAGTGGGCAGCCCTGGTGTGGTTGGTGGGTTACGTGGTGTCAGTATCCTTTGGTCCTTTGGACCATAGCATGTCACAGGTCTCCCATGCTTCGGCTGACTTTGGCAGCTGGGGAGTTGGAGACCCAGATGTGGCTGTCAGATGTGGCTGTCAGATGAGTCAGATGGCTGAGGAAGTTTCCTATGTACCGAGATCATCCCAGGATCATCATAGATCATCCCTGATATGAGTCGGCATGCACAGCATCACTGATATGCATCCCAGATCATCCCAGGACCAAGAATGCGCAGGTGGCCGTTTGGTCCGGTCGTACCGTGGCAGTGTTCCTGGAAGTCGTTCGGAAAAAGAAACGACTCAGTGCCAGTGCGGGATCCCAACGGCCAGTGGACTCCCAGTGGACTCCCAGTGGACCCATCAACAAGATCAACAAGTGACCTGACAGAAGCGAGGAAGTGGACCTTTTCCACCCTGGATGGTTTTCCTGTTCAAAATACTGGATCATCATATCTTTGCTTAAAACATGTACCTTTTTCGAGTACCCCTCTATAGATTACCCCGCTATTTGCTTGGTGAACATCCATGTTAAGATTTTATTAATGCAAAAATAAGGCAACTGGCATGAGCCAGATTAATTTTCAGTGCGTTTTCTTCACGGCCAAGGCCCAGATATCTCACCAATGAGTTGCAGTAGCGAGGCTGGTGGCATGTCCCCATTTTGGGCATTGCAGTAATCAATCTCTTCATGGCTGTGGGCAGTGAGAGTCTGCGGTAAACGGGTTGACGCTGAAGTGATGTAACACACTTCAACACACACACACATATATATATATAATCATATATAATGTATATATATATATATATGTATGTTGCAAACATCATGTTTGTACATGTGGCTTCTTGAAACTGCGGACCGGAAATCTATCAGCCGTTTATGGATGTTTATGGACTTTGAGGGCCGCGGAGTTGGGGCACCAGGTTGTGCCCTTGCTGCTCCAGGCCCGGCAACGCTCACCGTCCATGAGACTTGCCATGGTTTCCGACGATAAGGCGCAGCTGACCTGGCACTCCCAGGTTCCCTGGGCAAAAACATTGGCAATTTTCCCGATAAGTTAGATATTCCAGAGACACATATGCTGAAACCCTTTTCATAGTTTTTCCATGAACTTTCAGGTACTGGAGGAAACCTGCTGGCATAGAAGATTCGATGAGAGATGATATAGGTCTGATAGGTGATAGATGATGATAGATGATCTTGGGTTGGCTTATGCTGGCTTTATTTCTTGGTGACTTGCTTGGATCCATTGCTGATCTGCCTGTTTTGTGCAGGTGGGTGCCCTGCGGAAGGTCGTGGTGTTCAGGACCTTGGCCCAGGAACAGTTGGAAAACCTGGCAGATGCCTTGGAGGCAGGCCGCGATGAAAAGTGTAGGGCCAGGATGGGCCACCGGGATCCAGGGGGACAAGCTTTGGAATACTCACAGCATCTCAGGGCATGGCGAAATGGGGTAAAAAAGTAGGTGCCCTTGCCAGGTGGAGAGCAGGAAGCCCGGGGAGATCATCTTCAACCAAGGCGTTCGCTGCTCTGGTGGTTTTCAGACCTACTAAACTTATCTAAACTTGGGAGGAGGACTCCGAGGAGCGAAGTTATGCTCAAATCGGCGAATCATATCATGAATGGCAGGACGGGGCAAAAGTTGAACCCACCAGCCAAGAGTTGAACCCACCAGCTGAGCCAATCTCAACCCATGGTAGGTCCTGGATGCTCCTGGTAGGTCAACTTGGAATCCTTTCAATTGCCAGGTGAGCCCGGAAAGGAGTTCTACATCATCCACACCGGACTGCTAGAGGTGCCTGACACGAAAGCATCAAGATCGCAACCGATGCTGTACGGAAGATCTTGACCTTTTGTGTCTTTGGGTAGAGATCCACAGATGTCTGTTCTCACTGAACATGTACTGACATTTTGGTAGTTACTATTTTCAATATTTTCAGCCATCCAGTGGTCACGAAAAAGGCATAAACACCGGGTGTCTCAGAATTGGTGCCCTGCCTGCAGGTGAGTATTGGTGGCCGAAAGGTTCGCACCTTGGGAATGGGCGACTACGTAGGTGTGAATCTCAGGGCTGCTCTTAGCAGGATTTGATGCAGATGCCACGGATTGTTTTGGTGATGCCCAGCAGCCAGGGTTGCTGAACCCTGAGTGGGGATGTGCAGGATTTCATCAAGATCTTCCCGGCATCGTTGCTCAATGCTATATATTTATTTCTGTGACATCTGGTTGTGCCAATACATGCAGATTATAGATTATATTATCACATGCCCTTGTAGTACGCATATGCATAGTATAGATCGTATAGACACACACACACACATATATATATACATACATACATACACATTCACATACTTATTGATCTTATGTGTACACGCACACACAGATACACACACATATATATAATTATATACAAACATATGCATCACCATACATCCCAGGATTCCTGCTCCAATGTCCTATCAGCTGAGGTGAACGTGCCCTGCTGCTGGATGAGAATCGAAGTGCCACTGTGAAGGTTGTCGAGGCATTCTGTGCAGCGGGGCCTCCGGCCATGGTTGGAGACCATGGGCTTAGCGGCTACCCATTCTGATACCTCTTGGGAAAAACATTACTACTGGAAATCCTTTAGTGAACACCCGGGTAAGAGCCACGCATTCAAACATTTGAATGCTAGGCTAGAGGTTGCACATGGGCCCACCCATCTTATATATATATATATATAATATATATATATAATATTATATTCATCTTTTATGTTTCCATTGATTGAACTCCTGCCATGCCTCAGATTTTCCCGCCGCAGGACTGCGAGCTGTGGAAAATGGGAGCAGATCACTTCAACAAGGCCTGTGCGGGCGGCGATTTTGGAGAGACTTCTGTTGCAGGAGAGAGTCAATCAGACCATAGGGATATTGTACCACTGTACCACCAGTCTTTTGTGTATTTTAGAGTGCCCCATATTCATATGTAGGTAGAGCAAAATAAGATAAGATTAAAGGCGGGTAGGGTAGGATATCTTCAGATCTTCAGCAGGTAGGGCAACCAATGATGGGGACCCGAACCAACCAAAAATACGGAGAGCACAGCTATTTTCCACCACTATCCCAAGATCAGGCACGTTTGGCGAATGTGTTGGGATAGGCTGCAACCATCCGGGGATGGTCATCAGGCCGTGACGATTGACTCGCCCATTCGCGACTACATGAAGGTGGGAATGGATGGGAATGGCGTCCAGGAGCCAAAGTCAGTCACTTTCAGTGGATTTCAAAATTTCAGGACTCAATCAACTTTAAACATCTCTCGATGGTCCAGGTCCCCCTTATGAGTTGATAGAATCAACCATGAAAAGTCGGACTGATCATTCAAATCGTGCATTAAGGAATGTAGTTATGATAGAATCAATGCATCCCGTTCAACAGCTGGATTCACCATTAGAACAAACTACTAACTACCATATTTTTTTCTCAATAAATCAAACATCAATTCAATCACAGTAAACATCAATAATAACAATAGATCATGGCATTCCAATCCATTCCGGGATCCAGTAACGTTGCTCCCTGGAACAACAGGCCCGGATCGATCTGCAGAACACCAAGGTTGGCCTGGAGCCGGGAAGCCCTGGACCTGGAGGATTAGCCTGACAGAAGCTGCGAAAATGGGGAGGAATTCACAAAGAAACATGGTCAAGATATGGGGAAACCTTTCACCATGGACAGTTGCAAAGTCTAGGGTAGAGTATTTAAAGTTTAGGGTCTTAACTTAACAAACAGAGGGGGAGGATTTCACCAAGATGAATTCGATTTGACAAACAAGAATGCAAATAGAACCAGCAAGCAAAGGGGCCTAGAAATAGATTTCGCATATAGCAATACATTGGAACGCTGGAAATGACCCAAATCTGTGGGTTGGGGCAATGCCTATATGCTTGGCTGCCACACTCCGCCGCCCAGTTCCCTTCAATGCATGCGGGTCATTGGGCGAGGAGGCTTCGGAGTGGTGAAAATGGTTGGGTCGCCCAAGGCAATTTGGCTCATGGCACAGCGGTTCACAATTTTGTGGATGGGGAATATGACTTTAGAACACATACACACACAAATAGATACACACATATATATATATATATAAAATATAGATATACATAATAATGTATATTATTATATATTATGATGCTAAGCACATACTGCAATTAAAGGATTTCACCAAACAGATGCGTTTGATGAAACTGCAGCGAAGGTGGGCATTGAGGCAACAATGAAAGACTTACTGTACGAGTTATTGTTTCTGTTGATAATGTGGTTCTCGAAACCTGACGCTGGCAAAAGGCTATCGACAGCTCATGCTTTCAAGCGTGTGGCACAAGAAACCAGCCTCATACCAAAGCAGAGCTTCTGCTGAAACTTGGGTCATTTTTGTGACAAAGAGGGGGGGCTGCCAAACTGTCTGTTTTCACCTCTTTTCTCGGGACCCCTTTACCAACTTATTTGAGTGCTGAGGTGAAGTCAACAACCACGAATACAAGGCCCAGCTGAGGATGGAGTCTGAATGGAGTCTGACAGGGAAGGTGGTTGAAACCACACAGATGATTTCTATCGATCTCCTTTTTGCCGGGCGTATGGGTAAAGAGTGCGGGGGGGCACACCCTAAGGATATGATTAACTGATCACTACTTCTTACCACCAAGAATGATTATCATTTGTGGGTTCTTCGGTCTTGAACCTCTGCCCGTTCCCAAATTGTTGGAACCAATACTATGACGGAAAGAAACCAGTTGGATGCAATTGACGGCTCCCAACCTGCAGGTATGCCCTGAAGTGTGTCAGCAAGAAGCAAGCTGTCAGATTCTCAATGCTCACATACACTTACATCCACTGCGTTGGGAAATCTTAAGCAGCTCGGGGCCTGAAGAAAAGTTTTTTTTTTTGCGCATGTTTTAGTTTATTTTCCTATCCGCCTATGTGGCTGCGCCGTGCCATAGGTAGAACAAAAGCAGCAGAAAGCCTTGGCCCATGAGCGAAACATCCTCGCTGAGCTGGAGCGGTCGCAAGGGTAGTGAGTTCATCAGCAGACCACTTGGACAAAGGGGAAGGCTTTCCATTTTTTTTGGTAGATTAGATTCATTATTTTTTTAAAAATAGTTTTGCTCATAGCCACATGGCTTCCTGAGATATGCCAGATGCTTACTGACCATTCCTGACTTCAGGGGTCAGCCCTACGCCCATATGCATACTGAATGATTATGACTCATGACAGCCTGTTGAAGATTTGCAGGACCATCCTTTCATCATCAAGTTCGTCCGATCTTTCAATAGTGCGGTGCTGAATTCTGGCAAACAAAAACATCGCTACACTGACCTTGGAAGCTCCACAGCGAATCCAGTCACCACATCATCATCATCATCAATACTGTAATGATAATGATAATGATAATCATCATCACTTTGATCGCCATTTGCAGATTCTGGGTCCACATTGGGGGGACCAAGTTAGGCGAGTTCTCAGGTGCTCGTTATGTGTACTTTCTCACTGAGCTGGCTGCAGCCTTGGCAACAGCAGATCGTAGCAGTCGACGGGCTCATGATAAATCAGTGGACCCTTGATGCATCTTCATGTCGAAAGATCACCCCTCATGTTTGGAATATCTATTGCAAATGCGTTACTGTAATCATTAAAGTATTTCTGATATTTTTTAATCAGTGGGCGTTACTTGCTGATAGCAGCTGCTGGCGTGTCAGGGTGCATCATAGTCAACCGAACAAGAAATCGTTGGGATTCCTAAAGAACCAACTCAAAGTGAACCAAATCACCATTGGTTGACGCCTTGGATTATTATGGTTTAATGGTTCTTTCCAGGATTGGATGATGGGAAGATCTACCGGAATTTCCATGAATTTCCCATATTTGAGGGGAACGACGGTGGTCTCTTGTAGATTTACCCAGGTCACAGGCGGCGAGCTGTTGGATGCCCTGGATGCACTAGGCCTTGCCATATAACGTCTGCGTGGGGTCTCCTACAGTCTAAAATCGGCATACCCTTGGGTAAACATGGAGATACAAAGGGGATATCCCCACCTTCGTTGTTTGGAAAATTCATGTAATGTACAAACCGGACATTTTCATTACATTTTCCAGCTAGTCCGGTTATAGGGATGCCCCAAAATTCACAGATCCACATGGAGGCCTTGGAGTTGGGACCTGGACCCAACCAGCTGATGGGATGAGCCTTGCAAAGCTCTGGTCAAAATGCCATAGGAAAAACATTGAACACCCGCTGGAAATTCATCGAAACTGCGGGGATTTCATACAATTTCAGAATGGACACAGAAAGTTGGTCTTGTTCACCAGCAACATTCCGTTGTGATAGCAGAGGCGCACAATATGTCCAGGTTTGATCACCATTTCCCCAGTTCACCGGCAGGCTTGTTGCAAGCGCCTCAGGCAGGGCCCTGAGAAACCAGCAAGGCCAGATGCAACCGGAAAACCATTTTGGTCCCTGGCTTCTGGATGAAATATGATGAAATCAATCTAGCTATGGCTTCTTGCCACGAAAATCACCCAAACTCGAAGAGCCTGGAGGATGCTACTTGACTTGAGGCCCAATTCTACTCCGCATCCATCATCCTGGCCATAGAGCGCGGAGCCCATGTTTTTGGTGGTCATCAGTGACCCCCAAAATCTAATATATCTAATCTTTAACTACCGAAAAAGTCGCTTTCCCACTGGAAAATATTTTACTTATTTTCCAAGTCGAACTGTAGCGGTTGATCTCAACTTTATCTCTCAACCAGGCCCTATGAGATTCGACCGCGGCCTTTTTTGAAGGCCTCCATTTTCACTGGCCCAAGTCCTTTGCTCCTGGCCTGAAGGTTTTTGCACGAGAGACGAATAGCCTACTTGGACCTCAAAGGCCGCGGTTTCCCAGAACTGTGGGATCACCCAAAGGTTTTGAAAAGGTTTCATCCGATTCATCCAACTTGAGGTCATGTAGCTGGTGGTTTCATGAAGCGATGACTATCACCCCCCCGTGGCGACAAAGATCCACCACGTTCTTTCCATGGAGTTTCGGGCAGGCGAAAACTGCCTCATCGACCAGCATGGCTACCTCAAGATCATTGACTTTGGTGTGGCTGAGAGGGTGCCATCCTTGGCGAAAGCGACCTTCAGGACCTTAAACTTAGCCGCTTAGCCAACCCATCCCATCATGTCCCATCAATGGTGGTTAATCGGTTAATCAACATGTTGATATTGGGGGATCGTCCCCCAAAATGGGTTGATGCCTTGGACATGTCCGCCATGTCCGCCATGTCCCACCACTGAGATTACTTCGGGCAAAATCTTTGCTGTGCTGCACTCAGTACGGGGGTCAATCACTTCAGAACCAAGGCTTGCTGAGCTGCAAGTGACACATGTCTGAAACATCTCAGCACTTCCTGTGTTTTGAACTGACTGATAGGATAGTGTTCAACACAGTGAAAAAGTGATTGGCTTCAATACATCAGCAATACGAACATATCTTCTTAAGTAACTTTGATATTTGATGATACTTGCGCATATTTACAAGCTCGCCATGTTGAGGTCAAGGGCACTCCGCTCTTCATGGCACCAGAGGCTCGCCCCCCTTCTGTGATTTGTAGATGACTCTGAGGTATTTCCATGTCTACCAGAGGTAGGTTTGGAAAAACATGAAAGTGGGGACCTTGTTTCCCATCATGTCGGATCTACTGTACTCATTTTCCTGGTCTCTGTGCATATGGTTAAGAGGGGGTGGGTCAGCTTTTGAGCTTTAAAGTTGGGGCTCAATAAACCAGCCAGTTTTCAGGGTGCGACGATTTGACCATGTTCAGAAACACGAAAGCGCATGCTGCAGGTCATTCTTGGCAAGGGTCCGTGCCTGAGCATGTTCGTGGATTGCAGTGCCTATACCCCAAAAAGGGACGGTTGACTTGATCCAAAAAAATCTGAAAAAAGAGAGCAAGTCCCCTGCCGCCGTCCGATTTTTTCTCCCATCCCCGTGCACATAAGAAGATTGCCTCCTTCAAACACAGCGAGAAAATCTATTCACCGTGAGTTTATTCAGTGGGGAATCCATGAGAAATCTAGGTTGAAATCCTACAGATCTGGCGGTCTGCGGCTCTGAGGTTACAACACCGCCGCTGATTTGTGGAGTCTTGGCGTGTGCCTTTTCGCCCCACCGGCCTGCTTGGACCTGCTGAGCCATCTCAGAAAGTCTGCTGCACACCAGGAATTTGAAGACAGCCTCAAAAATCATTCAAAATCAGCATCCCTGGAATGTTTGGAACATGTTCTGGGTTGAATTTTGGGGGAATGAAAGGCTGGTGAGGAAATGACACGCTAAGAAAGACGTCAAAAGCATTCAAAAATCAAGCCCCATGATCTTTTTGAAGGTCACAGCACCATGTCAGGACTTCATGGTGGGCTCCTTCCCATTTGGTGATGACCAAGCGAGCAACGCCGAGGTCATCTCTGGTGGTCCTAGGGACCCCAGTTCGATTGTGGGAATGGTGCCAACATCCACCTCCATCTTCACCCAGCTGTGATGAGATCCGAGCCACAGGATTTGAAGAGGTTCAAATCTTGTACTTTTCTGACTTTTCAATACTTTTCATGGTTTCAACTATTGATGGTTTTTCTAGTCCTTACTGGGATAAATTGATCCCAGCTACCTGTCGTTGCTTCCCGTGCCGTTCTGCTGCGCAGATCTTTAAAGCGGTGCTGAAAGCACCGCTGAAGTTTCCCAAATGGCTTGGCGTGCATGAGAAGGACCGAGGGAGACATGTGGGCATATCAACCAACGACTGGTGGTACCGGAAATGGGAAGATTGACCAACCGCCAACCTAAACATTAGAAGCTAAGCAGCTAAACAAACTGGTTGGTGATCTGGTTGGTTTTACCTTTCCATCCTGTTTTGATCAAACCCAGAAGAATCAGGAGACTGATATGTTGGTTCAATATGGTTCAATATACTTGGGGATGGGTTACAGCCACCTGCCGTAGAGACTGAACTGCAGGACCTTCCGAAATTTGGAGTCCCACCTCAAAAATGTATGGGTCAAATTATGAGGCACCTAGGCCCTTAGGCGCAGATCTATGCACCCTTTTTGTTGGGCAATATCCTAAATCATTCGTTTGGAAAGAGAGCCTCGTTTTTTTGTTTGTTTTTATGTTGCTCGCTCACACTGTGAAAACAATACAGCGAAGTAGACAGACGGACAGACGGGCTGACTGACTGACAGGCTGACTGATTAATTGATTGATTGATTGATTTGATATCACGATCCGATTTTATTCCCATTAACACGACGTTTTTGTTTTCTTTTGAGGGTACCTGGGGTTTGCACCAGACCCGAAAAGCCAGTTGCTGCGCAGGAGGCCAAAGAGCTGATGAAAGCTTTGCTGCTGGGAAGCTCAGCACCAGCCCGTCACAGGGGACCCAAGGGACCCAAGGTGATCTACCATTTTCTTGAGATAAAAGTCATTAATTAAGATTTAAGATTGAATGATTGAGGAGATCGTTCCAATCTATTCGCAATGCAATAATGTATATGTATATATTATATATATTATATATATATATATATATTATATTATACATATTATACACGTAGAATTACGTATATATATATATATATGTATGTATGTATGTGTGCGTATGTATGTGTATATATATATAATGTATATATATATAATGTATATATATATATAATATATATATATATGTGTGTGTGTGTATGTGTATGTGTATATGTCTATGTATATGTCTATGTATGTCTATGTCTATGTATATGTATGATGATGCATGTATATAGCTGCATGCATGCGGCATGAGCGCACATGCATATTATTATGGAATTTAGATTTAATCCCTTACAAGCCTTACAATCGGATGATGCCCCAGCAGCACCAACTAGAGATGTCCCGGAAAGTCCCCGGGTCACGTGAAAGATGACTCTCGACTGTCGAGGCACCGTGATCCTGCAAAACGTTTGGGCGCTGGCCAGACGGGATATGATGAGCTGAAGGACTCAAAATGACTTAGGAATGGCTAGGCAATGTCCAAACGTTGGGTGGTCACTGTTCTTTGGGGATGGGTGATGATGGGTGGATGTGGGCGCGGAGAAAAGAATGCAAAAACCAGGACGGATGACTGTGGAATCTGAACTTCAACAGCAGTATCCCCCAAGCTTTGCAATTTAAAGGGCTGAGATGTTTCGTGCCTCTTTCTTGGGAAAATCTCCGGCCATCCGCTTGCAGGAACATCCTTTTTATTCTGACTTCAGTGGTCACCTTAGTGCGCGGTGGGTGTCTTGCAGCTGGGGCCATTTTCAGTGCCTGAGGATGGGAACACCTCCTGGCACGACAGCTAGCGCCACCCTTCACACCTAAGGCCAGCAAGTGGATGCTGTTGGGGAGTTGGTTCTATTGAGGGCTTTGCCGAGTGTTCTGTTCGGTGCATGTCTCAATGTGATGCTGTTTTGGCTCAAGCATTTCAAAGCAAAAAAAACGCCAGCGCATCCTTTGTGCCTTTGCATCCATGGAAGTGGAAAATTCAAACACAATTTTCAGCAATCTGGAGGAGGTGAAAGCGATGATGATGATGATGATGATGATGATGATGATGATGATGATGATGACTGCCAAGTTCGAAGAGCAGTCCGCACAGATATGTGCTCTTACTATTCGTTAGAACACAAATCTGTGCCGACTGCTTTGGTAATGTGGTCCAGTCTCAGGCAGTGCAGCTGTCTCGTTTGAAGAACTTTCCTTTCGCGTTGAGATGTCGGAGGCCATGACTACGACAGCACCAGAGGCCCCACAGCGAGTTCAACGGGGAAGCGATGTGCCGACGGGGATGGAGCAACCGTCGTCGTGGAGTCCGTGGACCACCGCGAATGCTTCGGGGACAGCAGTTCGAAGGGTGGCAAAAGCACGAACGTGCAGTCGCTGCTGAGTGAAGCATCAGATGATCCTCATCATACAAAGAACAGGCAGAACAGGCAGAACAGGTGTGGTAAAATCAGTTCCACAAAATTCCACAAAATCGTCTCTTTCTACTAGCGAAGCTTCCCGTGCAAAGAACACGCTCATCTCGAGATGCCCACGGAGTAGAAAAAATCTCAATGTGATGCTAGGAATGCCTTTCTTATGGGCGATTCAGACAGCCAATAGTTGCAGCTTTCAAAACAGCTCTTGCCAGGGTGAAACATACGCAGAAGATGCTGAAGGTGGCAAGGACGGCTGGATTGTTGGGCCATACCGGGCCACAAGGTCTCCATAGGGCTTCCATCTTTGCTGCAACAAATCAGTATGAGCCAAGTTCGACAGCGAACGGACCCGCAGATGCAGAGTTTTTCTACAAGTTTTGTTTTCATCACCCTTTTCGTGCATACATGATTCCAGATACGTGTGCGTATGCACACAGGGAATCACACGGAGAGAACGAGAGAAATCATCTGAGAATCGAGAGAATCATAGATAGAAATATGAATGATATGAATGCACATTTTCAATATTGATTCATTTTGATCCATACCTGGTATGCTATACTGGTTTCGTGCTTCCTTCGCTGAAGAGCGGCGGTCATTGGTTTGGTTCGTGGCTGTGGGATCCCAATGTGGCAGGACGCTGGACTTGGAAGTCTCACAGTCACGGAAGAAGACCGACAAGGTGCCGGGGAACCACTTCAGCATGGTGGTAGGGGCTATGTGCAGTCCCATATCAGCATATATCAGCCTTGTATCCCGCTCAATGGCGGAGAGTACCGTAACACCTATAACTACTGTATATCATTTATCACATCATTTATCATTCAAAATTGGAGATTGAATGCCAGTAGTCGTTTATTTGTGATGTTTGGGGAACTTTACACAGAAGGTTTTGCAGGTTCAGTACTACAATTGTGGATGATGAACGTCCAACATGAACCAACACCCATTTCGGATATTTGCTGTATCTCCATGGCGCTGCTGGGTGTGTTCGCACATGGTGCCCAACAATGATTGTGTAAAATTAAAAGGGGTGGTCCAGATGGTAGGGGAAAAATGGGGAAAATAGTTGCAAAACATCTGGGAAAGAATCCGAGCCGTAATGGTTTTCCGGCACCTCAACTGGCCCTGACACCACCTGAAGAATGTTAAAATTGCACGCCGGGCTGGACCCACCTGGTTTGCAGACGGAAGGTGATGATGATTGGATCGATCCTGACCCATCCTGGGCTGACGAGTTCTGACTTATAACACACCAAAGCCGTTGCGTGATTGAAGGGCTGGAGTTCAGTTTTGCCCTTTCGCACTTCAACGGGCGTTTCTCAGACTGGTGATGAAAGACTTCCCACTGTCACTTGTCAGGCTGTGACAGCATGGCTATCAGATCTTAGTACGAAAGAGCTCTGCACTTTTGCAATTGGGAGAAACCGCCCCCATTCCAGGTGCCACAGATGGCCAATGTCGCCCTCAGTTGTGGAATTTGCCAAGTCGCTAAGCGGCGCAGCTGCCAGGTCCATCAAGACTAACCCACGGATACCCACGGAGACTTACCAGCCACTAGAACATCCAATCATCAAGCAGAGCTATTGGGCATGATCCTGTATAGCCCTTAGTAGTTTAAGGCCAAACCCAAGTTTACTCTGGAAACCCCCAACTTTCACTAGTTATGGAAATCATCTAGTAGTGAATGCATGGTAAAGCTTCCAACACCAGTTGAGATTCCCAGAGGATGCTGGTAGCTAGTCACTGTGTCACTCCTTGATGATCTTGATGGTTCTTAGTTCACGATCCTTTCCATTTGCCAACTCTGCAATGGGATGGAGAGGCCTGAGCGTCTATTCCCAGGTGGAGAATGAATGAACACCTGGACAATTCAGCGCTCCTACCCAGATGGACCCTTCTATTGGATCACCAGGACAACCACCATCAACAGTGAGCCTGGCACTTGCAACCTTGGCGCGTGACACACCATCAACCTTAGTGCTGAGATGCTGGTTGTTCTAGTTGGCCTGCGTTTGGACGGGTGAACTGGCGCAATTGGCTAAAGATCTTTGGCTTCAGGAGCAACTATTTGACGATAGGCCATGCTAGGCCATATGGCCATGGGCCACCGGATTTGTTAAGATAAACAAATCCCCAAACTTGGATACCTAGTAACCAGTACTGAGCCACGTTGCTTTATTTGGGATGGACTCCAGACATGCTTGGCATTTGGAGAATCACATGGTGTCAAAAAATCCGAGCACAACCATAAACAACAACAACAACAACAACAACAACAACAACAACAACAACAACAACAACAACAACAACGGCACCAGGAAGAGCAAAGATATCAACAAGAATCAACAAGACTAAGACTAACAACGGCACAAATAGCAGAAGAGGGCTTCGTCCTATGGACATGAGGGAAGCATATTCAGTCTTGACCCTTGCATGGAATGTGATGAGGGCCTTGTCGCCTATAGTAGGTAAACTGAAACTTTGACGCAGCAGTCACTTGTCATATACAGTCAGTAATACAATGCAATACAAACATACATACATATATAATTCACACATTGAACTGGGCCTGGGGGATTGTAGCAAGTACTTCAAAACATAGGGTAACCATGTTGAAACATTTTGTAGCCTAATGTGGTGCCCTGTAGATGCAGATATGGCCACCTTGCGATACCCTGAAGCCAGGGAGATAGCGGGACTTAGAGGCCTCCTGCAATTTCATTCAGCCAGCCATTTGTACTTACAGGATCTTACTTTGTGTTTTCTGAAAGCTCTTAACATCTCTTGACCTATTCAGACTTCTTCAACTTCTGATCTTATCCTTTTCATGGCTTCATGAAGCCTTTGACGACTGGCTGGCTGATGAAGCTGCTTCGATTCATCGTACAAGCGCGAGACGCTGCAATACTGCGGAAAAGTGGAATTTCGGCCGGTCTTGTGATGTCTTGTGGTGTGGTAATTGCGCTGTAATTGGTGTATGTACACAATAGCGCCACCTGAGTGCCACTTGGAAGCCTGCACTCTTGGGACCAAGCAACTACAAGCACCAGTGGATCTACCTCCGTCACCTCCGTCACCTCCGTCACCTCCGTCACCTCCGTCACCTGCGTGTCAGTTCGTCAAATTTGGGGCTCATTGCCTCGGTTGTTTCTGGGTTGCCAGCAAGCTTACATCTCATGCCACCTGAACGCAACCAGGACGAGAGATTTTTTCACTATGGTGACAATCAAGATGCCAATTATTAGGTGTATATATATATAATAATAATAAAAAACTGTGGCAGTATGTGGCAATGGTGGCAACGGTAGAATCCCATATTTCCAGTTGAATTGTACATGATTCATACTTGAAAGTGGTGATGTCCTTTGACCATGGGACAATTTCCTGGGGTATATCAATTCTCACCGATGCAACGTGCATGTTTGGGTTTGCCCTGTGCTGCGCTGGTGTTTCTTGGTACCGCCGATTCTTGAGGTTGGCATATGTTGGCATTGGATTCATCTTCTAACCTGCATGGCTGCATTGGTTCTTCGGACATCAACCTCCATCTTGTGACAATATGTGACAATGATGAGCAGCACTGACTCATATCACAGAGCCAGATGGCACTGAAGACTTCTCAGTGGAAGATGTGCGTGTCATCTGAGAATGAGAATTTTCTCGCCGGGTCATTCGAAGTGACCTTTTGAGTTTGATCCTGTGGTTTGAGCTCACCTTGAAGTGGTCACTGAATGGCACCCCAAAATGATCCAAGATCGTCACTGGAAACTGCCAGTTGTACTCTTGCTTTGCGGTGATGGATTCAATCGGCAATCGGTCCGCTAATCAGGGGTCATTGTCAATCATCATGGGGCAATGATGAGCAGCACTGGTTGAAATCGCAGAGCCACATTGGCACTGAAGACTGTCCAGCAGAAAATGTGCGTGTCATCTGAGAACCAACTATATAGTAGTATACAGTAATTAATTTGTGTTGCGCTGGTGCTGGTGTTGTGTTTGTTTGGCTGAGGCATGGTGGTGTGGTGGTATCGTAGTATCATAGGAGTATCTTTGGCACACCAGCTTGAGTGCCAACGAACTGAAATGACATGCCTACATGCTGCATCAATGATGAGCACCACTGATTCGAATGGCAGAGCCGACCGGGCGCTGAAGACTGTCCAGTGGAACATGTGCGTGTCATCTGAGAGGCAGCTCATGGCTATTGCATCAGCATATGCTGGTACTGTATACTGTATACTGTTTGCATGGTTTGACCTGCGACGTTTCCTGCATGGGATGGGTTCTCAATTAGCACCCCCAAAAAATGATAAACCGGAGAGAGAAACACAATGATTATTGCCAGAGCTCTTCCGAAGGGATTTCTTATGATTTCCTCCTTGAACTGCAATTTTGTGCACAATTTTGTGCACAAAACCTGTGCCAGAACCCTGCCAACCTGGCGCTGCACATGGCGTCTTGGCGTCATGTTTGGCATTGGATTTTGTGGCTCGGCAGCTTGTAGATCTTGTACTGAGCATGAAGAATTACCAAGTAATTTCCACATTACACGACCCAGGAAACAGACATAAACAGACTGAACGTATCTGAACGTCACATTTGTTGCTACGTTTTTGATCGTTTTTTGGTGAAGAATCTTCAAGAAAATCAAGAAACAGATCTAGTCACATTTGGTTTAGCTACGGGACCGGGCGATGCGGCTATTTGGCCGGCCAACCAGCTCCAATACTCAGAAGGCCTGGCATAGAATCATAGAACAGTTTCTTGGGGCTGGGAGACCAAGATACCTCGGGATCCCTTGGGTTGAAGCCCTCAATGTTCATGCTGTACGCGGCATATACAGTTGCATTGTTGGAGTTTGGGAGTTGGTTTCTCAACAGTGGCTTTTACCGAGGGGTTGCCAGGTGTGACGTTTCTTTTTTTGTGGTACTGTATTCATAAGGGCAAGGGCCGCCTGTAATGTTGCAGCCTTTTGCAGGGGCTCCGATGTTGATCGCCTGAATTGGTTTTAAGTTTGATACAGGAAGGTACCATTCAAGTTGCCGCCATTTGGGGTTGTGGCAGCTTTTGGCACGACATGTTGAGGTTTTGAGATATTTCTTGGGTGTAACATTGTTCATTTGCTGCCTTGCTAGCAACACATGCTTCGAGCGTGTGTATCATTCCCAAGTGGGAGTTTGTAAAAACCCCGCGCCTATTCGTTTAGTCTTCCATGATCAATGAGCCATTTTTAGCTTTCACTCGAAAAAACGATAAGAGGAAAAAAAACGATGACGTTGGTTATGTTAATGATCTGTATCCAGACTCTTGAAATCCAAAGCATTCTGCGGCTATTGAGTGCTTTTGGTCTCTTTCTTTCATTGTTTGTTGTCGTAATGGCGCAGATTCTGCATAAGGAAGGTGCCTGGTAGGTGGTCGCTACACTCCTTTTTTGATGATTGCCAGGAAAAAAGGAACACACACAGGATTCACGAACGATAACAAAACGATAACGAAAACGATAACTTTTGGCATCAACAATGGTCCGTGTGAGACACTTCCTTTTTGTTTCCTTTTCCTCTCCCTTTCCTCTCCCTTTCCTTTCCTTTCCTTTCCTTTTTCCTGTCTCTTCCTTCACTCTTCCTTTTCCTTCTCCTTTCCTTTTTCCTGTCCTTTTTACTTTCCTTTTTCCTTTCCTTTTTCGTTTCCTTTTCCGTTCCTTTTCCTTTCGTTTTCCTTTCCTTTTCCTTCCGCTTTCTTTTTCCTCTCTCCCTTTCCTTTCCCTTCCTTTACTATTCCTTTTCCTTTTCCCTTTCCTCGCTCATGTGAATTCTTTGATCAAGGTGTGAAGCCAGTGCTTGGAAAAACGATAAGAGGAAAAAAAAGATAACGTGTGGAAAAACCATTTGAAAGGGCTCGAGGTCTTTACAACCCCCCAAATGGTTTTGGTGAAACCACTTCCAAAAGACTCCACCGCAGTTGGGGATTTGAGGGTTCTGTCCCAGAAATCTTTCAGACAGGCATTCCTGACGCGTGTTTCAGAGAAGGGATGTCCTGACTTTCTGGACTCTTTGCATGCCGGTGTTGAAGCAGGACAGGCAGTTGTGCAGAGGTCAAAAGCGTGCAACGTGCTTTCACAGTGCACACTGGAGGTGATGGCATTGTGACTTGGGGCAATTCAAGCGGTGGTGGCCGGTTGTGATGATAGCTCGACAGTATTCGACAGTCACCTGGGGCGGGGAGTGGTGACAGCTCAAGAGTTCAGGATCGTCTCCAGAATGCAGCATGAATGCAGCAGAATTATGCAAAATTCAGACCACAGCAGATCAATCATCACCTGGGGCCATTCAG